ATCAATTATAATTAAAAGAATATAAAAAAAATTAAGAATGTTAAAGCCCGGTGCTACGCACCGGGTTAGAGACTAGTCAAAACCATAATACCCCGCACCTGGTAAATTTATCCAAATGGCCATTTTTGAAAAATAACCCTATGCGTTAACGAAGTCACGCTAGGGTTATTATCGCGAGGATAACCAGTTTGTGGCTTATATGAAAATATAATAGATATGCATGTGATTGTATGCAATAAGGGATCATAGATATGTATGCGAAAGGGTACATGTGGGAAAAAATGGTGAATCTTAGAGCTTTCTTACTTCGCTTTTCTTGTTCACTTGTTTTCTTGGCTGCCCGATTACAATATGGCTCCTTCATGTTAGACATAACTGTGCTCTAGTATAAGAAATACAAAGCATATTTCACGAACAATGAATGCATTCATTTATTGATCGTCATTTTCAGTAACTGCGGAACCATGCAAGAGACAAAGTCAAAATATAATAAATTATCGCGTTATCACGAATGTCCTGTTCACACCAAAATATTAAAACTGACTTCTGACATGACTTGTGCTTCAATACATATTAATTATTCTTCGACTTCACACATTTTTAAAAGCAACTATAAAAATATGAATTTGAACCTCAAGATTAAGAAAAAAAAAAAAAGAAAAGCATTTCAGGACAGAGTAAAAATCGGTTTGCTATGTGGATCAAATGAAGCAAAGCTGTCATGAACGTCTTGTTCGTTTTATCAATCAGTTATATTACTGTTAGAGTTCATTTGCTTATTGGTTTTGCTCAATAATCTGGGTTAATCGATATAAATCTTAATTATAATGAAACTTTGGAATTTATTCATAGTTTATCGATTGAGTTATTTAAGTCCGCGTACATTTAAGTTTATTTGCGGCACTCAAAAACGTACAGATCGTAACAAAGATATTACAAATAAAATATGGTGTAAGGCATGTAGTCTCAATACAACAATCCAAGAATGGATAAGTGGGAATGAAACGATTGACGGGATTTCAATGAATGAACATACAGTTTAATGGATATGAGAATTAATGAGAGTTGACATAAGTAGTATAATAGGCCCTTATTTTCACTTGTGTTCAAAAATCTATTTTGACTGGAAATAATTCGATTTGAGTTAAAGAATCAACATAGGTCATTCGTTATTAAAAGCTGGCTAATGTTATGGGGGAAAAAAAGGTGCACGGGATCTTGCTTATGATCATGATGGTTTACTCTCGAAATCACGTGTATCCACCGTGGACTTTCTGTGGTCTTAATCTATGACTCTGATGCTCAACTTATATAACCGGGGAAAAAAAGAGAGAGAGAGAATGGGCCTTATTCATTGTCAATATGCATGTGTATCAAGTAGAATTCATCACACCATAGCGAGGACTGTACTTGCTACTTTAAAGAAAGTAGAATGTGCCACACCTCGTGCTTTAATTTCTCGCACAAAAAAAAAATTATTAATGAGAACTGGCACAAATAGTATAGAAGGGGCGCCGGTGACACCATTTACACTTGTATGATATAAGGTGTCAAGAATTCATGATTGGAAATAGGTTATCAAAATTAGATTTGAGTTAGAAAGATTGAACAAGGACATTTGTCAGTAGAAACTGACTATAAAAAAAAAAAAAAAGGGAAAAAAAAGTGAGTCGCACAGGGATATTGCTTATGATCTTACTTAACCGTTTTACTCTCAAATCATGTGAATCTACCGTTCCTGGTCGCGAACTGGTTGTTGCCCTCTGCCTCTTAATTTTTACAGTATTACATGAAAAAAAAGGTTGTTTGTTTTGTTTGTGGTCACATTTATGTGAGCAAGTAGAATGCACTATACCATAGTGTAGGCTCGTACTTGCTGCTCTAGAGAAAGTAAAATGCGTTGCACTACACCATGGGCTCATACTTTCGCTCTTCTATGACCTGCCATTCTCATACAATACTAAGCAATGAATTGAAAGAAATAATGGAAATGAAAAAAATGAGAACATTAGCAATAATCTTGGGAAACCCCATTAGCAAATACACTCGCCTTTCTAGTAATAATATTGGATTAAAAAGAAAGGCATTTACGAATACGCTTTACAAAAATAACATTCTAATTCCTTTAGATTTATTAGTAAATAACCTTGGATCAAAAGAAGGAAAGCTTTGTGGATACAGTTTGTAGGAAGTTCGCATATCTTCCTTGAATCTTCGATATAGTGAACTTTGATCTCAAAAAAAAAAAAAAAAAAAAAAAAAGAATGGCCTGAACCCAAACATTAACCGAGCAATTTACCATATTGAGTCTAATTTAAAAAAAAAAAAATCAGCACTACAATGATCTAAGATTAATAAATCGAAAATTCAGAAAAACTATTAGTAAAGAGATGGCAGCATTATGTAATCTTTGAAGAGATGTTGGAATCAAAATCCAGGAAAAATCAATAGCATCACAGCTTGGCCATATGACCGCTGTTGGCGAACTTATATGACAGTCCCCTATTGAGATATCATGAAGGATCTGAAAACAAGATTGTGCGATGATCACCCTGGTCTTTCACACAATGAAGCGTGACGTTTGACAGAAATTTATAACTTACAAGCTGGGCCTAAAAATGGGAAATAGAATACACTGTCAAAAAAAAAAAAACTACCCGATCAGCTTGTAAAGAGGAAATATCTCCCGGTAAAATCTTTGTATTGCCAAGTGAGGCTGATGCATGAATGTTTAAAAATTTAGATGAGAGAAAATGAGGATCCGCTGTTCCCAAGTATGTGGGAAAGCGTTTGACAATGGGTGAGGTAAACACCGAAAAAAAACAATATGTAGGTTTAAAAGGTAAGTATTTTGGCCATAGCATACATATAGGGGTGCAACAGGTGCAATGAAGGCCGGAGCGCCAAGGGTAGCTACTCACAACGCTACAGAATACTTTAACAAGAAAAGGATTTAGGACATCTTCATCGCTCTTCCTTTAGCGAAAGTATTATCCGGGTCAGCTGACTCGTACGGGTCACGAGTCGAAAATTAATCTAACCCGGTCAAACGGGTCAGGATTTAAAATAGGCGAAATTTGCTAAATAATATTTTAATGTGTATTATATATTGTACCTATATAATCATATTGATAGATTACAACTTTACTAAAGCTCTTACTGAGACAGTACGGGACAGTTTCTGATAAGTCATGAGTCAAAAATTGGATCAAGTAGTATGGATTAAGACTAATAAACTCGGGTTGCTCGAAGAAATTTTTTGATACAGTATAAGCGCGAAGTAACATTTGTGGGCGTTATTTTGAAAATCGAATCTTTCAAAATAGTTTATTTGGTCTTGAATTAACATTCATTGGCGTTTCGATTTAACACGGAGCAGCATACTGTATAATCATTGTTGGGAAAATGATACACCGCCGATCTTCCATAAGTGCATCCTTTATTTGTGCTCTTCACACGCACATTCTTTCCATAAGTACACTTCACATACACTTTTTTCTATTAGTGCACATCATTTGATCTGTCTAATGTAACGTACAGTACCTACAGTGTAAAAATGCATGTGATGATCGCACATTAAATTTTCTTATTTTAATATGAAGAAAGCATGTGATCATATGAGTGCGCACATACTTCTTAAACAGAAATTTTTACACTAGTGTTACGGGTGAATTGTAGGTTTAACTAGTAATGCATGAAAATATACAGCTTTAGGTGCTTAGTCAACTCGCCAGAGGCGTGACATTGGTAATTTGGTTAATTATAATATAAGGAAATTATCGGGTTAGTGATATTACAGTCTCGGATATTACCAAATATGGAAATCAATTCACAACATAGTAAAGAATACTCTAGAATCGATTTGTATATAAAATAACTAGTGGCGGGATCATGGGCATGTTAATAATAAACTTTTGAATTAATTTAAATATATATAGTCTTAAAGATACATAGTTTAGGGATTCCTCATGATCCCAGGAGCTTTATAAGGTGGTTGTTTACCAAATCAGTAAACAAACGTAATTGGTGTAAATTTATCCCCATAGACTAGTATAGAATAGCTATAGACTTAAATGGAAGTACTAAGAATTTTTTAAATGTACAAAAAAGAGTGTGATCTGCATTGTCCAAATTTGGTAATATCTGAGACTGTATTATGTGCTCCTTCCTCACATAAGTGTCGTAACCAAACTTATCTAAGTTATGTTCTTTATATAACTTAAAGGACTAATGAGGCTTAAACAAAACTTACCTTATTGTATAGTGGCTTAATTTTATTGGCTGAGATCTGCTTATTATCAAGATATATCTAAGCCTTAAGTTAAATTATAAACGTAAGCCTCAACTAATAAACCAGAATTTCTTGTATTGATTGCTCTTTGATTACAGGTTTACTATATCAAATTTGTCAATTTATCTTTTAGCTTGTGACATTCACCCAGACCTATTTTATACATACTATGCATAAATATTTAAGCTAAAAATACTGTATAAGTAAATTATAATAATAATAATATAAATAAAATAAAGTAAAAAAATATTCTTATTCTAATATTTCATTTCTTGAATGGTTATCACATATCCTATATGAGATCAGTGCTCTAGAAAGAATAGCTCTCTTTACTAGATTTGAACCCAGGTTACTCTGCTTACAAAGTGATATCTTAATCAGTAGTCTACATCAGAATGATTACCAAATTTCAAAAATTAACTCCTTAAAAATATGATTTGTGTAGCTTGATTATACAATTGTAAAATTTTTCTTCATGTGATCTAAACTTTAAATTAGACATTCAATTATCTTTGTAAAGTAATTTTAATCTATCAAAAATTAAAAACTAAAACAAAAACTTTTAGTTAATAAAATTTTTTATTGCAACATGCCTTGCTTACAAAAAGGAAATAATAATTATTATCCAAAAAGACAAAAGTAAGAAATAAAATAAATTTTAATAATAATAATAATAATAATAATAACTAATAAAATTTTTGTATAATAGTAAGAATTTAGATAAAAGAAAGAAAAAAGAAGTAGTTGAGAATGTAGAGAATGTAGCAGTGAATTGGTAATAATAATAATTTTTAAAATAATTAATATAATAAGATATTAAAATAAATCTAACTTAATAGGTAGAGTAAATAGATTTTGGAAAAAGAGGTAAAAAATCAAATATTGGAGTTGGAGCAAGAAAATAAAGCATTACAAAAGATGTAAGATTAAGTAATAGAAGCAGGAGAATTCAGGATAAAGATATTAAAAGATATGTTAAAAGATGAAAAAAAAAGTATAATGTGTTATGTCAGGCAAAAAGAAAATTTGAAATAGAATATACTGTGTTGAGGAAAAATATGAGGAAGTTGATAAAAGTTATAGATGAGAGAACAGAAATAGGTAGAAATAGACAGAGGATTAGAGAGACATATTATGTAAAGAAATTAGAAAAAGAAGATAAAGAAGAATTTGAAGTAGGAAAAAAAAAAAAGAAAATAAAGATATAATATACAATATATATGAAGCATTGATGGAAGAAGAGTCAGCAAGTAGTGAAGATGAATTTGAAGAAGAAAGTAGTAGTTTTGCAATAGTGTTAAAAGATGATATAGGAGAAGATAGCAGAAATATGCAGTATTGAAAAGAAAATATGAATCAATATAAGGATTATATGTGGGAGAATTAAATTTCAGTTCAAGTATAAAATAATAGGTGTAATACGATTGTTTAATTACTTTTATTAATATTACTTAAGAATGTGTAATAGAAAAAAGAATTTCATGTAAATATATTTGTATATATAATACAAAATTTGTATTTATTATTAATTAAAGAGTTATATATTCTAACTATACAACCCCTAAAAACTTATCTCTTTTAGGTTCTATTGATATTTAAAATACTAAAAGAGATAAAATTAATAGAATTTAAAATTTTAATATGTATTAATTATAAATATCTCTTCATTAAATATGTTTTCATATAACACCTTATATATGGTGATTGTTTGTACAAAATCCAGTTTAGAAAACCTTGAAACATGACATATAATAACAGTGTTTGTAAAACAGATCTCGAGTTAATCTAATCTCAAATTTTATATAGAATAGATGAGAAAACTCATAAAGTTATAATATTTTTTGTAAAAATTAAATGTTCATGATTTTTAATAATTTATTTTACAATTAAAATTTGGATATATATTTATTCTAAAATTCTAAGAATAGTGCTTGGCAAAATCAAGTAAAACTCGATTTTTGAGTTTCTGATTTCTATCAAATTTAAAGTAGCAGGTTTTAAATCATGTTAAATATAAAATCTATTTTTAGTAAATTCAACGATAATCTGACCTTAAAACTTAAAGCTTATCACAATTATTACTCTACTGCTACAATCTCTGCTAATAATAAAAATATTTTTTTCTTACACTCTAAAAATTTTAAATTACAATTTAAGTCTAGTATAGTATGTTGCGTTTTTTTTATACAGCAATCTAATGTGTTTTTTCTTTTAAACACTTATTAGAGATGCTATTCTAGACCACTGCTGGAGTCATCGTTTCTTGTTATAAGTACAATCAAAGAAGAGAAAAGAGGTACTTGAGTAGTTTTGAAACCTGAAAAAGGTGACAATTTGAATGGTAAACCTAACAGTAATTAGCATGGTATAGGCATAGTCAAGAGGTATTTAGGTAGTTATAAAATGACAATTCAAATAGGCAACTTTAATTTTTTCTAATATAGCATAGGCACCGTTAATGATGAAAAAAAGATATTTAAATAGTTGTTAAACTTGCTAGAAGCGACAATTCGATATGCAACTTTAATTTTAGATTAATATAGCATAGGCACGATTAATGATAAAAAAAAAGTATTTAGATAGTTGTGAAACTTGCTGAATGCGACAATTCGAATGGGCAACTTTAAATTTAGACTAATATAGCATAGGCACGTTTAATAAAAAAAAAAAGTATTTAGGTAGTTGTTTAACTTGCTGGAATCGACAATTCGAATAGGCAACTTTAACTTTAGACTAATATAGCATAAGCAAGATTAATAATAAAAAAAAGTATTTAGGTGGTTGTGAAACTTGCTGAAAGCGACAATTTGATGGGCAACTTTAATTTTAGACTAATATAGCATAGGCATGGTTAATGATGAAAAAAAGTATTTAGATGGTTGTGAAACTTGCTGAATGCGACAATTCAAATGGGCAACTTTAAATTTAGACTAATATAGCATAGGCATGATTAATGATGAAAAAAGTATTTAGGTGGTTGTAAAACTTGCTAAAAGCAACAATTCGATGGGCAACTTTAATTTTAAACTAATATAGTATAGGCACAATTAATGATGAAAAAAAGTATTTAGGTGGTTGTGAAACTTGCTGAATGCGACAATTCGAATAGGCAACTTTAAATTTAGACTAATATAGCATAGGCATGATTAATGATGAAAAAAAGTATTTAGGTGGTTGCTTAACTTGCTGAAAGCAACAATTCGAATGGGCAACTTTAATTCGAGAATCATTAAATAGTGTTATGTAATGATATGTGTGCCATTATCATAGCCATGAAGCCTGGTCAAATAAGAAGTTCTTGCACTACTATTGTAGCTGCGGATCCTAATTGCAATATGAGATCTTTGCACTACTATTGTAGCCACAGAGCCTAATTGCAATATAAGGTTCTTTACTGCTATGACATCTGTGGAGCCTAATCGCAACATAGTCGTAGAGCCTAACCACCACATGAGGTCCTTACTGCTACCGCAGTTGCAGAATCTAATCACCAAAAAAATGAGCCTTGCACTGCTATTGCATCCAAACTTAATCACCAAACATGAGATCTTTAAATTGCTATTGCAGCCTCAGATCCTAAGAGCCTAATCACCAAACATGAGATCTTTGAATTGCTATTGCAGCCTCAGATCCTAAGAGCCTAATCACTAAACGTGAGATCCTTGAATTGCTATTGCAGCTGTGAAACCTAATCATAATACATGAATATTTGCATAACAATGAATATCTACGTATAAATGGCCTATAAATATACACCTTTTCTAAATGCAACCTCTGGTCCAAATATATGCACGACCCTATAAATGCAATTTTTCTAAATGCACTTCGTTAACAAGAACTGTATTTATGGAGGTTTCGCTGTAATTACCAAACGTATAGCTGCGGATCTTAAACATAAAAACGAGGACCTTGTTCTAATACCCAGATATGTAGCCGCGGATCTTAATTATCAACATGAGAACCTTGCTCTGCTATTGTAGTTAATCACCAAACGTAAAGTTCTTACATTGCCCTTCAGTAACAGGTCACTGAGAGAAGAGTGGGAAGGAGAGCTAGCTTTCACTACAAGGCAAGCAATAACGAAAAAGAAAGATAATTACCTATACTAAACAAGATACCATAGCAATCGATTTCAATAATAATCATATATAATACACAACATAAACCAGAAAAATACCTGCATAAAAAATCCATAAAATGACAAATTCAATCAAGTCAGCTGATCTCGCAATAATGGTCGCTTTGACAAGCTCCTCAAATACCTTATTAGTTGATGATATGTATATTAATAAAATTTATTCGATTATTCTTTTCTGTATTAACCCAATTCGTCGTGTGAACAACGCGAGTTACGCTAGTTTATTTTAAAATTAGAATTAGTTTAAAAAGTTAACTTCAAATGATGAAAGCGAAATTAAAAAACAGTTCTTTAATTACTATAGAATTATTGAAACATTACCAATAATTTCTCAAAATCATCTTAATCATAAGTATATTAGCAAAATTATTAACACAAAATTACATATTTAAAAAATTATTTCTATTTTATAATTTTAAATAAGAATTGTCCTTAGCAAGTTTCTACTACGTAGGTTATTAATAATTATTTTAAAGATACAGATTAAGAGTAGTGTTACCTGCTGCAAACATTGGGGCGACTTTTAACATTACCCTAAATTTTTATGACGTATTGTATGATAGATATTCAATATGAGTCAAATTATTTGACTATTATCATTTTGATGAACGATTTCAAAGTAAATTTTAAAAATATAAAAGAGATGGTTTTGATGTAATAATTATATTAGTTTTATTAGTTTTGGGGTACAGTTTTATATATGCAGCATGTGTTTGACGTATATTATTATTCAAAATTACAATCCTCAAATAATAATTCGGGTTTTTAATTTGGGCCCAATTCCAAAAATACGCCCGGATTGTCGCAATTTAATCTTTTACAGCTTATTTATGTTGTAATTATTACAAAATAAGTCGTATATATCAGATTACCGATGTCACAATATATTGCGACGATAAGTTGCGATCATAGTGGCGCTATAAAAAAGTCGCACGTCATATTTGCAGCAAGCAATACTAATTGTAAGTATTATTAACTGTTAAAATTAAAATTTTGACTTAATACTATATTACAGTCGCACACCCCAGTACTATGTAAAACTTCGGCCCCAACTTATAAGAGTCCTATATGTTTTACTTTCTATAAATGCAAACACCCTCTAAGTGCAAAATTTTAATTTTATTCACTATGGTCCCGACGGGATGCACTTAGTGAGGTGTGACTGTATATTAGACTTTTTACAATTTTAGTACGTAGTATTATATTATTATAAATTTGAATCTTCATTAAGTCAATAACATTTTTATATTTAATATTCTTAATCGTAAAGTGCTTTTTACATACTATAAGTAAGGCCGTTTGAAGTTACAATTTCGTTTAACGTTCTCCCCCACTGCCTCCAAAAGCCCCTGAAATTAAACAAGCCAATCAGAATGTCCGCTACATCTTTGATGTTTCAATAAATCATGTAACTACAAACCAACCAATAATAATTATATAATGTTTGTTTAATTTGACCCCCTCCCCCACTGCGCTTAAGCTTCGAAAGGAACGTTAAACGAAATTATAACTTCAAATGGCCTAAATTGTATAAAACAAATGCTTAAATGAATTTTTGAACTTTTTTTTATAAAATAAATAAATAATATAGTATAATATTTTATATAAATTTAACAATTATTATAAAACGCACCCATGGTGGTTTTGTACTTATTATGTTTTTATATAATTTTTTAAGTTTTTATAAGTTCTGTATATTAAAATTTTTTAGCACAAAGTTTTCAAGTCGAGATTAATATTTGGTGTTAGAATTAAGGTTTAGGAAGGGTTTTTGGGGCGTAGAGCATTTTTACTTAGAGCATCGCTTATTAATTAATTAGCCAGCTTTTAAGATAATGTAACATAGCTAATAAAACACCATAGGTGCATTTTAGTAAAATTGCTTTTTGATTATTATAAAATCAATTTTTTTCTAATTTTTGTGAAAATTATGTAACAGTATTTTACACAAAAATTTCCAAGCTTTATTTTGACCCGTACAGTAGGGCACAAAATTTTGACATGTCGTACCTGCTTTTTTTTTTCGGTAAACGAAATATAGAATCTCTTGTGAAAATAATACAGTATATTTATATTATAAAATTTCCGGCAACTTTAAAACTACGCCGGAAATCAACGGAACCTACGGCATTTTACAATAGAATTTTGTGCTCTGCCGTACAGTACGTTCAGTTGCTTGGTACGTAGAACAAATTATTTTATAAAAGGTTTCAACCGGACAAATTTGTGACTCTAAATTGTTTCTAGCTTGTTTAATTAAACGAAGCTTCAGTTCTATCAAAATAAAGAACTGAAAACAAGAGTATCCAATGTTAAAATTTGGGTTATGCATAAAGGTTGGATTTATTTAATACGCATTTATTTTTCCTTTGGCTAACGTAGGCTTGCAAAAGAATCACAATTCAGAATGTAAAAAATTTTTTTATTAAGTTAAAGATTTGATCATTTTTATTATGTCACGTCATCACTACTGTTTTAATGTAGTATCAACGAATTTTGTGATTGAGACTCATAGGCAGACATTCATAAGATTGGCAGTTTAAATCAATTTAATTTTACATTATTTATACAGTTTAAAGTACATTTTAAAAAAAAGAAAACTACCAAGAATAAAAAAAAAAAGAAGTATATAGAAACTTTTATTAGGGTTGTACTATTAAAAATAATCAAAATTCTTTTTTGTTTTAGAGGAGTTAGCATAATAGCGACTTCTTAATGATAGATAGAATTGGGTTATCACCATGCTAACTTCTCTAAAACGAAAAAGAATTTTAATTATTTTTAATAGTACAACCCTAACAAAACTTTCTATATACTTCTTTTTTGTTTATTCTTCGTGGCTTCCTTTTTTTAAAAAATGTACTTTAAACTGTATAAATAAATTGATTTAAACTGCAAATCATACAAAAGTCTGCCTTATGTAGAGATGCGAACTATTTGTCAATCCTAACAGTTTTTGGCCCGCATTACGGTTAATTTGGGCTGAAACTGTTAGGATCAGCAAATGGTTCGCATCTCTAGCCTTATGAGATTGAGACGCAATTTTTTTTTTTTATACAGTATGTATACTATATATATATATTACTATATACATATGCGAATTTCCTCTTTTGAATGGAAGTTGTTTTGAAGATCTTATGCATGAGGATGATACAAAATTACAGTAAGAGTAAAATATTAACACTACATGAGTAAACATGACAAAATCATTACACTACATGACTAAACGTGTCTTGCATGCATATTAATTGTTGGATCTGAAGTTAAAATTTGGAGCTTCTACAATATTTAGATCTATAAGGTCTATTTGTTGTATATTCTTTCATAAACAATTCTAACCCTAACTCCTACCTTACTATTACAAAAATTTTCACTTAACAAATATGAAGAAATCAACATCTTTCATATAAATTTACTTATGTATGAAAAACATGTAATCAATTAGTTATACCATATGTGCTTTAGTCACGTTAATAACTAATTACGTAAACCACAAATTTTAATTATAATTAATGTAAATCCGCAAATCTGCAGTACTAGAAATAGTTTAAGAGAAATATCTTGGTATTTTATTAGCGCAGCATCATGGCAATACTGCTCATTCGATTGATTCAATAAATTTTTGACGTTGATAATTTTTAATAATTAATTCTGCTATGAGACTACAATTTCGTAATAGATGTTTTTGAATTAGCCCTAAAGCAAAAAAAAATTAAAAGTGAAAAGATTATTGGTGATGTGTTAGTTTATCAAATTTCCGTCAATCCACCAGCAAAATTTGTTTATTTGTTTGATGACCGTGAAATCTCATGACTTGCTCATGACTGCACAAAATTCTGTTCAAATTAGATCCTTAAAGTGATAGACCGGAAAAAAAAAGTTTTATAGTTTCGACCGAATTTTCTTATTCATAATAAAGTAATATCATTGTGTAGAATAATAAAGTAAAATTTCTCGTCGTTTTTTTTGATAATTTATTCACTATAAAAAGCTAAAAAAAATTCCAAAAGATTCTTATTTGGGATTAGAACCGGACCAGGAGTACCGATAAATATTTTAATTGTATTATTAAGACTAGGCCAGCCCATCCCCACATACCTACTTATGTAAATGCGTACATAAAGGCTTACAGTAGCTTATAAAAGTATAACACGGTTACACAGAAATAATAACGGTATACTGTACTGTTATACGTATCTGTTTATCACCTCCCTTTGACCTCTCGTCATTTTTTCGTCTCAGATAATTTTAAAGTTTCGTTCAATTTCCACTAATCGAAGATTTAAAAAATTAGGATTTAAAGTATTCCTAATTGTAACATTAATTTGCATCGATTTTTTGTGTAACGCCGTTATATTTTTCGGAGGTATGTACAAATGTGACACTGCACTTCAAGTCAGGAAATAATGAAATGAACGCATGATCGTCAAACCATAATAAAACTCCGTATTTTACATATCTATTTCAGTACACGCATTAAACGATAACTTTTTCGATTACGACGACAAATAACACACATTAACAGTTAATATTCTTATTAAACTATACGACAAAACACATCATATTCAGCTACAACTAAATAATTAATACCATGCAAAATAACGACTTAGACTATGATTTTGCTTTGCGATTGCAGCAATTAGAATTGCTTAATAATGGTAAATTGTCAGTTTACCTAATTAAATCTTTAAGCTCTTATCTCGCTCTAAAAAACGTTTATTATATTCAGAACCATTATATCGAAATTATCATGAAGATGAAACCGATGAGTCATTTGAAGGTACTTTAAGCTATTTCTATTAACATATCCATTTTTAAAAACGATTCTAATACGTTTGCTGATTCTTTTTTTTTATATAGAAACGTTAAGTGGAAGAACTTCACATGGTATTATATAATACAACTTTTTTATATAATATATCTGTCTTTGTACATTATACATCATCATAAAAATAATATTTAAATCATTTAAAACACCTCAGATACGACTCCAATCGTTAATAACAGACAAGATGAACGACGAGATAGTAGTGTCGAAAACGATTATGCCATTGCTATGCAGTTGCAACAAATTTTAAACGAAGAAGCATTAGAGGAAAATATGATTGGCAAGTTATAATATTATCTATAATATAAATTGCAATGTATTATATAATTAATACTTTTATACTTTTGATTTTTTATCTTTAGATGAGACTCCCCGTAGGAATATTTTTGAGTTTGAAAACTATGAAACAAATTCAGAAACTGAAATTGGCCATTTCAGAAGAAATAATGCAATAGGTAAGTGAATTAATGGAATTTCGGAATTAAATTATGTGAATATACTACATTTCGGTTAAATATATGACGTATTTTTTTTACAATTTTTATTACATTTTCAATCAAAGTTCGAATGATTTTATTTATATGATCACTCATTATCAATTATATTTTAAACTATACATGATACTATTTCGTTCTCTTTTAAATTAAAAATTCAAATTTAAATCGTTTATTTATTTATTTCCGAGAAACACTATTTTTTGTTAATTCTGAAATTCATGATAAAAGTTTATATAATATTAGTATTAAAAATGTTCTATAAATATAGAAACAAATCGAGCATATATCGAAAATCTGGAAGATGAGGATGAAGATGATTTAGATCAAGGTATTCATACTTAACTATCTTATTGATGATAAATTGCAACTACACTACAAAAAAAATGTAGTTCAGATACAGGTGTCTAAAAAGCATCAATTCATCATAATTTTTATTTTCTTAAAAATTAGATTACTTTTTTTTAGACATTTTACCGTTCTATCTAATAATTATAATACCTTTGAAAACTAACGAATAATTTCTTTCTAGTGACACTAAAGGTCTCATCATTTGAGATCAATTCAAATGGTATAATATAATATATTCTTGTATATTTTGCATATTGCATTATCCATAAATCAGTTCTTTTAACCTCTTTTATTCTTGTTATCAAATTTTTTAAATTAGATCTTAAGACGATCATTGCTCAATTTAAAAATAAGTTAATTCAAAAACATCCGGCTGCACCCAGAAGAATCATTAGATTATCTTCAAGAAATCAATTACTTATGTTTTCGGAATTCATTGAAGCTATTAAACTATTTAGAGATATAGATTTTATACAACGACCAATGATTGAATTTAAACATGAGTATGCATTATTTTATTTAAAAAAAAATCTATATTTTAATTTTTTCATTAGTGTTATATTATATTAATCAAAATTATGAAAAGGCCTGTTGTTGATGGTGGTGGTGCATTTAATGATACTATTCGTCAGATTCTGGACACATTCATGTCATTAGAAAATCCTGAGTATGGTGGCAATGGCCGTCTATTTACCGGTGATGATTCTAAATTAATCAGTTCAACTGCTCCAATAAGCGTTTTGGATGAACTTAATGTATGTAAAATTTTTATTCATCTATAAAGAAATAACTTATATAAATATTAATAATCTGTATATTATACAAAATTAATTTTTTTTAGATATTTGGAGATATTTTATTTTTGGCAATAGTTAATGACGCACCATTCCCTGTAGACTTAGATATTATCTTATTCAAATACTGTTTAGACCTTGAAAATACTATTACCCTAAAGGATGTTGAAAGATTCAACCCTGTAATGTACAATCTTGCCAGAGAAGTTTTGAATGCTAGTCCAGACGTTGATTTATCTACCATTGATGGTTTTGATCAATGGGCTGAAGATAAAGAAATATCTGTATGAATCAAATTTAGTATAATCATCATGTAAATTATTAAAGATTTCAAATATGATTAATTATTTTTAAATTTTAAAAATGTAGAAAATACAGAGGCAGGTTTACTCTCGATCTAAAGAAAATTTAAGAAAATTGGCCAAGGAAATCTGTCATGATATACTAATTCACAGTCGAATTAAACAACTTAATGCTATAAAACTTAAATTAAATAAGTTTGGGTTTTTAAATGTATGTTCATTATGATTGCTATTTTAAACATTTTTCATATTTTTTTAATACATATAATTGATTTTTTTATCACGTTCTTACCAGGTTCTTAAAGAAAAACAAATTAAAATTGATCAAGTAAAAGATTACTTTTATCGAGAGTCAATAACATATGATGACATTATTCGGAAATTGGTCTTTAGCCCAGCTAATTTGAGTAGGCGTCAAAATGCGGTCAAGAATTGGCTTATTGAATGGTTACAAGCACAAAGAAAGGAAGAATTACAAGAATTTTGTAAATTGGTTACTGGTTTCATTCATCCACGAGAAGAAATAACGGTAAATTTTCATATTCATAAACATTAAATAATTAAATATTTTTATCTCTAAAATTATTATTATTTATAATTTTATTATTTAGGTGGCTTTTAAAACTTATATTGCTCGAGAAAATAGAGAAGCTGCTCTTACACCTAGATTTTCAACGTGTTTTTCCGAAATGAAGATCTCTGAATTTTTTAATTCAAAACATGAATTGTTTGCAATTATGAATGCTCAAGTTAATAAGGACCTTCATGACGATAGATTTACTGTAGCCTAACAAAATAAATTACCTTCATGATAGCAATATATTAAATTATTTAAGCGTGTGTTAGTGATATATTATAAGTAAAAATGTGAATAAAATTTTATATTTCTATTAAATAAAATTTAAAGAAAAACTACACACAATAAATTATAATAACTATCCGTTTTTTTTACAGGTGGCTGTAATTCGACAATCAATAAATGGTCCATCATTTACGTGTATATAACTCGCTTAATTATATATTATTATTTTCACGTAGTAATAATAGATAGTATATATAAATTTTTCTTATAAGATTTCTTAAAAGAGAAAGAGGAATAGAAATCTTGTTCTGGATTCATTTGAACCAATTTCGAATTCATTTGAACCTAACCGGGTTTCATTTGTTCTCACTTCAGGCATCCTATTTGAACCCATTTGAACCAACCCCAGGTTCCATCCGAACCTACCCGGGTTTTATTTAAACCTACCCGACTTCTATATGAACCTCCATTTGAACCAGCTTGGGTTCCATTTGAGCCCAATTTGAATCCAACCCGGTTCTATTTGAACTACTCCCAGGTTTTATTTGAATCCAACCCAGTTCTATTTGAATCACTCCAGTTTCCATTTGAACCCATCTGGCTTCTATTTAAACCCACTTCGAGCTTATTTGAATCCATTTGAACTCGACTCAGGTTTTATCTGAATCCACCCTGGGCTTTATTTGAACTCATCCTAGCTTCCATTTAAATCCAACTCGTGCTCTTTGAAATTTTCACAAACGAAATATCGACGAAGTATAGAACCATTATTATTATGCTCCATTCTATATTTTATAACCTCGAATCTAACCTCTAACTCATATTTTTTTAATGTCTTTTCTTTAGTGAATTCGGCATTTTCTTGAATTATGTAATCGTCATTTTCATTACTGCAATCAGATTCTTCATCACTTTGTATAAATTCTTGGTTATTGCATCATTGCTCTTGGTCAAATTGTATGGGTTCTTCAACATTCAAAGAATGTTGACTAGCTAAAAGGAGAGAGATCATCCTACTCTTCCTCCTGGACAAATTATATTAATTTTTCAGTTGGATGATCAATATTATCCATAAAATTTAGACCAGTTAAAAAAATAAAATCATCATTATATATGAACACTTTAGTTAAATGATCAATATATAGATAGAGACAAATTTGAACTTTGTCTTGTTGAATCAAGCTATCAATATGTAAATTCAATATGTAAATTAAATAACTTTCAAAACTTACAAAAACAAGACTTATATATAAAATTTATATGATTTAAGTTGTAATTTATTTATTTATTTTATTCAGTTTAGATACAAAAATTTAATCTAATTAATCATACAAAAATCAACAATAATTATCCCAAACAATATACTACCAAAATTTTACAATATATTTTTTGAAACTCAAATTAGAAATATACAAGTGAAATCTTTATCCTTATCAATTGTGAAAATTTATAAAAGCAAAATTTATATATGAAGATTATATTTTTTTATTCAGATTAGAATAGAATGAAATCTTATCCTAATCAATTGCAAAAGAATCAACTATAATATCTCAACTAAATTTTGTATTATATTTGTTAAATAGAATCAATTATACAAAAATTAGCTTTACATATGACCAATAAATGAAATTTTGCATTATGTTTGTAAAATAGAATCAATCATACAAAAATTGATTCTACATATGACTAATGAATAAAATTTTATATTATATTTGTAAAATTGAATCAATCATATAAAAATCAGCTTTATATATGACTAATAGATGAAATTTTGTATTATATTTGTAAAATAGAATCAATCATATAAAAATCAGTTCTTCATATGATTAATGAACTTGAAATTTTGCATTATATTTGTAAAATAGAATCAATCATACAAAAATTAGTTCTTATATAACTAATGAATGAAATTTTGCATTATATTTGTAAAATAGTATCAATTATACAAATAACTAATAAACTTGAAATTTTGTATTATATAAAATAGAATCAATCACACAAAAATCAGTTTTACATATGACAAATGATCTTGAAATTTTGCATAAAATATAATCAATCATACAAAATTAGTTCTATATATGACCAATAAATAAAAGTTTGCATTATATTTGTAAAATAGAATTAATCATATAAAAATCAGTTTTATACATGACAAATGAACTTGAAATTTTGCATAAAATATAATTAATCATACAAAAATCAGTTCTACATATAACTAATAAATAATAGTTTGCATTATATTTATAAAATAGAATTAATTATACAAAAATTGAGTTTAACATATGACTAACAAACTTGAAATTTTGTATAAAATATAATTAATTGTACAAAAATCAAGTTATTCATATGATCAACAAAATTGAATTCTCAAGCAAACCTGAATTGGGTCAAATAAAATTTTGTTTATGTAAATTATAATTAATCATACAAAAATCGAGTTCTGTATATGATAATCATCCCCAACAATATATTAACAAAATGACAAATTACTCAAATTAGAAATATAGGTAGTGCCAAATTTTAAGAATATTTAATATTGAAATCAATCAAACAAAAATCAAATTCTAATACAATAATTGATCTCTTTAAAAAGCAAATTCTGTATATGATAATTATTTCAACAATATGCCTACAAATTATATACTTTATTTGATGAATTAGAAACATATGAAAAAAGCCAAATTTGGTATTATATATAAATTTAACTAGTTATTTTCCTATTTTTAGAGTATTATATCTTCAAAAACTAATTTTTTTCAAAGTAAAATACTTCATTATTTTGTTAATTTGATATCAGATAAAAATTACAATACATAAATAAAAGCCAAGATAATTATCAAAAAAAGTGCTGAAGGCTAGTTATTTTAGTCACATTCTTTCATTTTTTAAAAACAAATTTTAATATTAGTTTTCGGCACTATAATTCTCTTATTTTTAAATAAAGCAATAATATATTTTATTGAATATAAAAAATTTATTAAAGTATTAAAAATTTAGCACAAATATGTTGTGCAAAAAAAATTCAAATGCTTAATGATGTAAACTAATAACCCTATTTCAGTTGACTTTACTAGTATTTTTGTTTCATATTATAATGTATAGTGTATATATATTATAATACAATATGAAATTTGTAGCTACAACGATATTAGTAAAATCAGATTAAAGTCTTAAAGTAATCGAATTTCTTATCTTTATTACTGTAATTAAAATATAATTAATTTTATAAGTCTTGATCTTTTTAATTAAAATTTGATTACATAATGATTATATTATTATTAAAAAAAAGAAACCAGAGAAAATGAAGATATAATTATTGTTAGAAGATTGGACAAAGACGTATATAAAGTACATGTACAACAAATTCCATTTAATAATAATATTAGTTTATATAATTCTGTTGTCCAAAGTGTAGTGGAGAGCTCTCAATTTCTATGCAAAGTCATATCAAAGTTTTGTTTTTGATACAGTATTGATTAGAATATCAACAACATAAATTTGCTATTTCTATCTGTCACCATTGGTCTTGCATAATTTATTATATTCTTGAATTTATTTATTTTATTTGAAATATTTAGAGTATAGTAAACAAATTAAAAATAATTAATTATGTATTTATCTCTAATTAGTTTATATAACAAATACCAGAAATGAAGTAACATTGAAAATTTCATTAAGTGTATAGTTATAATGCAAATTAAATAGTGTATATACATATACAAAATCTTGCATCTTATTGGATATATGCATATGGTGAAGCAGTACCTTCACTGAGTATGTGCAACATTTTCTTCTATATCCAAACACTTGCACATAATTGTAATATAGTTTAATGACCTGTTCTATTACAGCACATGTAGTTAATTAAATGTGAAAAACCTCTTAATAGTATTATTTAAAGACAGAAAATAAATATGACTATAAGCACAATTACAAATATCATAACAAACAAACAATAGTCAAAGCATTGTTTTTAGTCATAAAAATTAGTGGTCTAATGCAAATTTGTATACTCATTCACTGAATTGTTAGCATTTTTCATTTTTATTTATAGGACTTTTACTAGGTTAATGAATGATAATCACTGATTATTTAAAGATGAATAAAATAATTTAATAATTATTTCTAAATAAATAATGATTAGTTGATTATTATACTCTACTCACTGCCAGTGATTATTAAAATATTTTTACTGATTAGAAAATGTTTAACACAAATAGAGTCATGAATTTATCTTGAAAGGATAAATTATACAATAAGAAAAAGAAACTATTTTATAAAAATAAAATTGTATATAAAAAACATTATTTAATTGTTTGGGAACATAAATTTAATAGTTGTATAAAGTTGAGATTAAAACCTTCCTTTTTCAGAAATTAAATTAGCTATGTAGATTATATTGGTGTAAAAATAATACGAATAACATTGTCACATGTTTCTATTTATGGGCAATGCTAGCTGGATGAGAGTCAGAAATAACTTTATTAGATATACAGTAGATAAGAGTAATAGGAACTGAAACATTGATTATCTTGAAATAATTAGCAATATTAATTATACTGAGAATCGCTGTAACAGACCAGATAGAAAATAAATAGCTTAATTATTCAGCTAGTGGTTTTCTGCTAGCTAAAGCAGGCTGGCTATTAGAATAGCAGAATTATATGGCTATTATTAGTAGTGGGAGGGTTGGGGCAGAAAATTCATAAATTTGTGTTGCAGGTAAAAGTTGGAAATAGTTGATTCTAGGGTATTTATAGAATTTGTTTGGGTAGCTTGCCTGTTTTTGCTGGCTTGTTGATTTTATATTGTTTAATTGGTGGCCCGTTGCATATAATTTATGAGCTCCCTATTGTTGCCCAGGTAGGTTCCTGATTTTTGTTTTAGAACTGTATATATACAATCTATGATCTCTTGTTGTTGCCTAAGTAGGTCCCTGATTTTGTTTTGGAACTATATATGATCTACAAGCCACTGTTGTGACTTAGG